GGCTTCAGGTTAACGCGATTCACATCCATGGGAAAAAAATAAATAAATCGGTGCCTTGGAAATATGKTCAATAAAAACAAAGGGTGGATGGAACAAAGGCAGCAAGGAATGTGAGCCAAAACTCCGTTCGGAGCCGCTAACTTTTACAGTTCCTCGATAACGCTCGGTCTTCTGGGAGGCTCCCGCTTTTGTTTCCCAGCGCCAGGTTCGCCAAGACTGCTGGCAACTCCGGCAGTTTGCTCTTGGAATATCCTGGCCCTCAGATGTTTTTACAAACGCAGACTGGTAAAGCTCGGGTGTACTGCTTGGAATGAGTCTGTTGCGATCCTGCAGGTTAGGACCAGCTTGGAGTGGATACACTTAGGGATATTCAGGACTGATGTTTTCGGGCTGATTCAGGGTGAGGTTTCACCCCTGCCCTGTTGCTGTGCAGTGGCTGATGCCCGGGGAGTGCCTGGAAGCGGCTGCTTTTCCTGCTGGTGTCACTGGGTGATCACAGTGCAGCACACGGCAAGAGCTCCCTGTATCAGGGCAGTTGCTCTCAGGGAAGGAAGGTGCTGGAGGAAGACCCCAGATCCTTGTGGTTCATCCCAGAGTGTGTGTATTGTGGAATTTGAGGCAATTGGCACTCTTTTTTTTTTTTTTAAGTCATGGTTAAAAAGTCTTTGTATTAAAAATAAAGTATAAGACTAGAATCTAGAGTTCAAGGCATGGAACAACATAGCTTTTGGGGTAAGCTTGCAGAGTGGGAATGGCCTTGGAGGAGGTCTCCACCGAAGAGRAGAGACCCGCTGGTGCCAGCCTATTCAGACCCAGAACAAGGTGGGAATTGCCTGGCAAGGGAGCTGCCGTTGTATTTTCTGCCCTAAGAGCTACCCAGGCAGGGCTGTGGAGCAGCAACGGGGCTTTTCTGCCCCCAGTACTCACCACACATTTACCAGGGGTCACACACGGCTTCCCTTTTGTTGCCTGAGGGATGAGCCCTGGAAATGGCTGCAATAATTGCTGGCCCCCGGGCGCGTTGGGCTGAGCCTCAGCACTTACAGGTCCTGCTTGTGTGAGGACTTCTCCTACTCGGGACAGGAGGGAGTTAGTGCCCCTGCTGCAGGCAGCCCGGCCTYGGCCCCCGCAGCAGCCCCTGCTTGTTTGGGGGCTCCGCGGGACAACCAGTGCACCCTGTGGTTGTCCATCACAGAACAGGAACACCTAAACTGACCAAGTTTAGTTTTTTAGCTCCTTTAATGCTTCAGCTTTTACACCAAATGACTGCCCAAAGGAAAGTATTGACTTAAGCCCATTTTTCTGCACAAAACGGAGAATCTTACTGATGTAACCACATAAATTTAAATTTCTCTTGATTGAAAACAAAAAAAAAAAATCAACAAAAAGGTTCTACAAATTTAACTGCAATTTGGAAAGCTGAAAAAGGCCTTTATGTTTGTCTCATGAAGGCAATGAAGTTCATTTACAGGTGTAAGATTCACACTTCAAATAGGCTTGCTGTGGAACTGATGCTCTCTGCAGCTACCTCTTCTGGTTGCTGTTTTCAGTATTTGCTGTATTCACTATTGGAAATTGTTCACAGGCCTTTATCAGTTCTACAGTTGAAATAAACTTACTTGTGTCATTCTCCTTATTTCCCCTCTTAACAAGCGATTGGAAAAACCGCAAATGAAAAGAAATGTGACTTTTATCAGCCTTTTTGCTCCTCTGGATCGCAAGCCTTCCTATGGCTAATAAAGATAATGCCACCTACTTAAAGATATTAGCAGGCATATTTAAAACCCAAGATGAATWGAGTGCATTTCCTATGTTAGAAGCAGTTGCTAAATTGTAAGTAACGAAGCCTTGTTGTATTACTGCATTGCACTCGAGGGAACAATTTAGGTTTTGAATTGTATATGTTGGTAAGTGAAAACTATGTAGACATTGATTATTTTTTTTTCCCCTTGACCTAATCACTGTTTGCCTATGGCAATATCTGATATGTTATGTGCTCACCAAGAATTGTCTTGGGACCGCAATGAGTGTTTTTGGTTTTTCATTTTTAAGGTTCATTAGTAGTCGTTGTTACGGCGGGGCGAGAAGGCCATGGAGCCCATGTCTGTACATGGGTTTCTGTGCTTGGTAAGGGTGGAATTGGACTCTGCAGATGGGACTCTAAATTTATACAGACACAGAAGGCCAGGTTTGCATCTTTAAATAACTTGCATTTAAAGCAAGAATTTCTTGCAAAGGAAATGTCTATTTTTTTAACGTATTTTCAGGAGTGAAAAAAGGATMATTTCTTTATTTTTCCTTCCTGTGTATTTGTTATTTGTTGGTTTTTTATTTGTATTTATTGSTGTAATGATACGAATAAGAATTCCAACAGAATACCTTAAAAATGTGTTTAACTTTTGTCATATTGTTCATTGCTTCAAATTGTGATTTCTTTTGTATATTAAAAGACTGCTTTGTGCTGTGTAAGGGCATACTTAAAAGAGTARAAGAGAAACTGTTAACTTCCACGTAAAGGTCCTGTAACGACACACATGGAAACTCTACTTGTTCAATAAAGTGTTAGCAATTAAAAAATCCCCAYAAGAATACTTGCATATATTTGCATGCGTTAGAGGCTAAATAAATGTAGACTTGTTGTTTGGTGTGACCGAGAGCCAGTTCCATGGGAAAACACCYTCTCCTCCACTGCCTTGCCGAGTAGGCGCCCGGTTTTTAAGGTAACCAGCTGCCAGCTGAGCAGCTTTTACCTCAGCTTGGAGCATTGGATAATATACTATCTTTGAATGTAAGTGCTCATGTTAAACTCTGTCTTTTCAGAGCCTAGTTGATGTAGTATTAACTTTTTCCTGTTAAATAGCAGTGTAGGGATCGGACAAATCACAGGTTGAGGTTGGAAGGGACCTCTGGAGATCATCCAGTCCAACCCCCTGCTCCAGCAGGGACACCCAGAGCACRGGGCACAGGGCGGCATCCAGGCGGGTTTGGAAGGTCTCCAGAGAAGGAGACTCCACAACCTAGAGCAGGAGGCTCCACAACCTAAGCTGGGCATCAGAGAGGTGTCTGCACGGACTAATAGCTATAAATCCAAGATCCTTCAAACAGCTGTCTTGAATATGGTAGATATTTCTGTTTTTGTTTGAAATCATTGATTTTGTGTAGCCTATTTAGGGCCATGTGCTGCTAGGAAGTTCTGTAACGGTGAGAGGTTTTTCTTTGYGCACCTAATGCCATTCAGGGCAGCTCCTGAAGGATCAGGAACTTTCCTGAAGACTTTCAACATTTTACCTAGGTAATATTAATGAACAAAATGCTTGGGACTTTGCTTTCAAAGACAGACTGTTTTGGGTAGCGATCGCCCCTGTTATTAAGGCCCCGTTRACTGGTGGGCCTAGGGTTTCTCTTGATACTGATACAGGCTGATTGTGATTATGTCCTTCACAGCAGCATCCCATAGTTAACTACGCAGCACTCTTGCTCTCCTCTTTTCAGGACTTTCTGGGCTTAATTGCAATTAGCTGATCTGCTAGTAAGGTTAATTTTTGTAGTTTAGCTATAACCATGGTCAGTAACCTGTGCCCTGATTCTGTTTGCTTTAGCTGTGTTAAAATTCTGTGTTTTTATCTTAAAGGTAAACCTACATCTCTGATGCAGCTAGGTTGGTTGTCTGGGGTGGTAGATGTGGGCAAACAAACAAAATCTTTATTTTTGGTACTGAAAGTGCATGTTTTTCCAAATCTCGATCAACTTCTCTCCCATCTTCTCCAGACAAAGCAGCCTGACTCTTTCATAGATGACTGGAGATCTCTTGCTTTGCTTAAGCATGAACCAGCAAAGCTGCCAAAGAAATCTGTCTAACCTGCTGCTCCTAAGTGAAACAAATACGGCTCAAAACACTCCAACTCCTTGTTCCTTGTGTGAAGTATTTGGAATAATATTGCCAGAGAAATCTTTAAAAAGTTTTTGTCACGTTTTTAACGATTCTTCCCATGTTCCAAAAAACACATTAAAAATACGGTGGAGAAGGAATAAGCTGCAGTTTCTCCTGTATACATGGTATGGAGGTACTCGTTTCTTGATGGTGTCACAGTCCCAATCTCTAATTTTAAAACATTAGACAAGTAGACAAGAGCCTAGGGAGATTTTGGTCTTGCCTGASAGTGCCAAGCCCCTTAAAGTGTCATTTCGTAGCTGAATGCTCCCAAACTCTGCKGCTTCTGTCACGTTGTCTTTTTGCCTTTCTCTCACTCCTCCAAAATCTTTCCCTAATATTAACTTCTGGCCCAAACTTCTGTGCATTATTACAGACTCATGTTCGGCAAGTGGAATTTTCAAATGAAAATAATGATTTGCAATAAAAAGTCTGACAGATTAATTATAGTATTACATTAATTATTATCGTATTTCAGCTCTGTTCCTCTCTCAGCCCTGGATATTGGTGGATTCTTTTTTGTTTTTGTTGTTGTTGTTTTTTAATACCTATTGACATAATTTTGAAGGAGCAAATGTATATTTATATATATTTTTAAAATCCCAAGAATTTAATTTAAATTTTAAATTTAATTTAAAATTTTTATTTATTTTTTTTTAATGTGATGTTTTGTGGATTTTCTGATGAGTGCAACTCCCACAGCCTGTGTCATACACTTCTTGACAGCTTTCTGTTGTGGTGATCTTYGTAGCATGCACTAAATGGCAGTCATTTATTCAGAAGTTTGTGCAGCTGATTTGACTGTATATTTTGCCTTTTTTTCTTCCTTTCAAAATATATGTCGTCTTTAACATTTTTTAGGTATAGATTGATGTTAGTACCACAGTGTGGCTTCCGTAATAGAATACTTTAAAAAAATAAACTTTAGAAAAGGTGAAACTGAAGTGGAATGAAAGTCCTGTGAGCACTGAATTGTACTGCTTGCTGCGAGCACTTGGCGGGTTGTTTTCAGATCTTAAGAAACTTGTGGGCATTTGTTTCTGACCCTTCACTTTGTTTCTCTTTTCAGGATGCTTCATCTGCGGACATTCGGAAAGCTTATCGGAAGCTTTCACTAATTTTACATCCAGACAAGAATAAAGATGAAAATGCAGAAATACAATTTAGACAGGTGAGTGCAACATAATACAAGTTAAAGGTAATACTTTTTTTTTTTTAACTAGAACTATTTATTAATSATATGCTTTTATTGAGAATGAGGATGCACCTTGAAAATAGTGAAAGAGTTGAATACTGAGCAAGATTAATTCTGAAAGAGTTGTAAATGCTTTTTAACTCCTTCAGTAACTTGGATTTTGCTAACTATTTGTGTATTAAAAAGTGAATGCATTAAAACATTTCCATATATACTCTTATGAGGAAAACGTATTTTATTCTTTTCCTGAGGACTGTTTATACTTGTATTTTTGGAAGAAATGAGGAAATTTTCTGATCAGGTTTCAGTGCAAATTGTTTACTGTGATCATAATTTAATGAAAAAAAAACAGTTGTTCTTGAATGTTTTCCTCTTCTGAAGTCTTGTAGAACACAGCTATGAGATTGTTAGAATTAGATCTACTATTTAAATAAGATGCTGCTGGTGGCCAAGCACTGTCTTTTGGCAGTATAAGATCTTTAGAATGAAATACATGATGCCCTTTTTTAAGCTGTAGCTGAGACAGGTCTCGGAGTCTGAGACGTGTGTTTTGGGGCAGAATGTGTTTTGTAAAAACTTGCTTGGTTGYGTAGCTGGTTTCTGTACACTTAGGGCCCTCTTCCTCCCTTCCTATTCCTAATCCAACTTGGTGGGCTTCAGAAACTCAAACTCAAAGGAAAGAACATTTGTTAGTAAGTGTACAATGTGACAATAGTACTCAAATCTATACAATYCAAATCCTAAAGTAAAGCTTTTGCGGTTCTTTCTGGGTTTTTATTTTAGTTGGTGGCTATCTATGAGGTTTTAAAGGATGAAGAAAGGAGGCAGAGGTGAGTTGATTTACCCAGATTCTCAGATAAAGTCTTCATGTATGCTGCAGATAAACCGAAAACCTATTTGACCTTGTAACTATTCAGATTTTTGTGTAATTTGAGTTGTTCTTATATAGCTGTTTAATTAAAGCTTGTATGTGGATTAAGGGAGAATCTGTTGTATGTTTTCGTGGCACATATGGATTAGTTCTCTTCAAAAGTAGATTTTTGAAAGAACTTTAAAAGCCAATTTCCATTTGGAAGAAGCGGTATTTACCACTTAAGTATAATATCACATGATTATTTTTTCTAATTGTTAGTTCTGTTAAATATCATTTATTTTTATTTTTATTTTTATTTTTATTTTTATTTTTATTTTTATTTTTATTTTTATTTTTATTTTTTAACGCTCTTTTAAATATAGTCAGCTTGGTTTCAGATGTCAGTCATGTATCAATATAAATTATATCAATAAAAGGTTCTTTGTGTGATATTTACAGATTTTTTTTTCCAGTACTTACCACCTTTAACATTTTCTTTTCTGCTTTTTTGTTGCTTTCTTTCAAACACATCTATAATATTGTAGACTCTAATTTAGTAATATCCAGACAGCAATATGTTAAGAATTGGTGGTTGCTCTGCCATCCTCAGGAGGAATTAAGGATAAAAATCTATGGTTCATCTGCTTTCTTGAAGCGTGTTTATGTGTCCATATGTGGATGTGTTTGTGTAGGGGTGTGTGTATATATATGTATATGTGTGTATATATGTATACATATGATGTTCATTTAAATTAATGTGCATCAGGATAACTGGGCCATAGCAAAAGAAGTTCTGCTTTTAGGTGGGAGTTTCATTAAAACATCTTTTGCCTCACAAGTCTTTTACAAGACATTTCTTGAAGGGTTTTTGGCTTTGTGGATGTCTTGGCAGGAGTCCAGGTTTTATAGTACAGATTATCTGCATTTTGATAATCCTCTGTTGAAGTGTCATGGAAATGTGCTTAGAAGAAGTGCTTTTGGAAATTTGTGTTTTGTTTTTAATTATACCTCTCACTGGCGAATTTTAGTGTGGATTTCTACTCTCCTCAAGGAAAGTTAAAATGTTGTTAGCTAAATGGGTTCATACCACTTCAAGAGTGATTTATACTGTAGATTTTCCCATGTTTTTGTTTGTAACCATGTTTAAAATATACTTTGTGATATGACCGCTCTGGATATTAGTTCTATCATGGAGCTTGTAGGAATTAACTCTATAATAGCATTTTTTATTCATGGGCTTGAGATACAGAAGCTTGTTAAAATTATGTTTTTAAGCCTCTATACATTATGAAAGTTATTAACCTTAGCCCAATCTGGTCGAGGAAATAATATTGTTAATTAGCGTAACACAACAATTTGCAAATGAGAAATTAAGTCTTCAGTAAGTTCTAGTCTAGATGGATTTCACTATCAGTAGCTTTATACATATATATGTGTGTGTGTGTGTGTGTGTGTGTGTGTGTGTGTGTAGACAGTTATCTGTTGTATTTTTCTTGCACAGTGTGGAAGTGTGTCTCATATAGCATCTATAGTTGATAAAACAGCGTTGTCATGTGTAGAGTAGAGTAACTGCATGGTCTCTTTTCTTTCAGACATCTTTACTGAGAGAAATCTTTATTGAGCAAATTTATTGTTCAATTGAAACCTTTAAACTCTGTGTGTGAAAAGAGGAAGGTTGTTTCCCTGTCCTCTAAGACACTGCTGTGCCATGCTGTTAACTGAACGTGCTGGGAACTGATYCCCTCCTGGGAAGGTTTCTCCTCCAGCCTTGCTTGCAACCCTACTGCAAGGCCAGGGAGATGGTGAGGGGGTTTGTTCTGGGATCCTTCTGTTTTGGATGCTGCAAATGAGACTTTTGGTTATGCAGGACTGAAAGGACTCKTGCATTGCATGAGGCCGTGGACCTGCCTCTGAGTTTACTGTTGTCCCTGTGCACAGAGGAGAAGCTCCAGGGTGCTCCTGGTATCTCTTGGTGCTCGTCAATACTGAGAAAGCCAAACGGCTGATAATGACGTAGACCAAYACTACCCTGTGAGGACCCCATGCTTATTAGACGATCAAAAAATTCTAATATTCTAACCTTAACCGTGCATGCAGCCTTGATGAGGATTTTAAGTTCTGCATCCATAATAGAGTGTATGAAGCTCTGTAGAAGAGGTCATCTTCAAGGTAGGCAGAGATAGGTGCAGTTCCTGAAATACACACTACTTTTTAAGTGATGTACTTAAAATACAATATACTGTTAACGGTGATATATTTTATTACTTTTTGATTAATTTTAATTTATGAAAAAGTAGATTTTTTTTTTCATTTTCTTAATTTCAGTTAAGCAAAACATTTTACACTTCCACTGCATTGTTTGTAGCCTTTATAAGGAGCGTTTTACCTACAGGGCTCTGTCCTCTCTAACAATGTGGACTTGATTACAGGAAGCGTTTGTAAATGAATCAAGATATGCTCGTTTAGTGTAAGAAAGGTGTTTATCTTGGCTATCATTATAATTAAATGCCTGCATTCATAGGACATAGGAAGCATAGATTGTTCTGGCTGATGCCGCACTGGATGCCTTTGGCTTGAGGAAAAATAAAAAACACCAGCAAAGTCTTCCCGTAGTTCAAAATAGATCTCATTAATTCAAGCTTGGCATCTTTTATAAACTGTATCAGATATCTGAAATAATTTGAACTATGATATGCAGTGGCTTTCTTAAAGGGAGAAATAAATTGTATTAAATTAGATTATACTGTAATTAGCTGCTTCAGTTAATGGATTTTTTTTTTTGCAATATCATAGATTCTGTGAAGGACTCTAAAGTATCTTAGGAAACTTCACAGAAGATTGAAATTTTAATACTTTTGTAACTGGTTACTGGCTGGTCTTGTGTAATACCCTGAATATTTTAAACAAACAAACAAAAATAAATGTTTGGAGTCTTTGTGTCTTGTGTCGGACAGGTTCTTTGTGGAAAGGGGCTCAGCTTGCGGACTGCCGCATTTCAGAGACCACTGCTAGGCGCACTCGTATGCCCAATATTGGCTGCATTCGGTGTGCTTATGCCTAAGAAAAATGCTGCAGATTGATGTTTCCTTGTCAGTTTTATATTTATATCTATATTTATATCTATATATATCTATATATATATATAGAGAGAGAGAGAGAGAGAGGCAATTAAAATAAGTTGGAAAAAGACTTCRTAATTAAATATTGAATCTAGTTCTTGCTGCTTAGGGGTTAACTGACTAGCCTTAGTAGTTAACATAGGTTTCTATTGAAAAATAATTTAATGGCAAATATGTATGCTTTTATTTAACACATCCTAAATGTGGAAATAAAGATTTGAAAATTATGGGCAACTTCTGAGTTTCAGTAGGATCATTTTCTAGTTGAAAAACGAAAAATCACTGATATCTTTATTTTTCAAATACAGAGCTTAATTACTATTGAAAGCAGTGATTTATCTTTTAACAGTATATATTCTAAAAAGTGGGTTATAATAGAAGCTATCTTCCCTTCAAATGGCCAGTCGTGTGAGCCATAATGCTCATTGATAGGAAAATCAATAGGGCATTGATTCTGAGCCTTAATCCTCGGAGACTGTTGTTGGGAACAGCAGACAGGCGAGTAAGGACAGAGGGCTGTTTAAAGAGTTTAAGGCAAGAGATTCTGCTCTCTTAATTTATTTTTTCTTAAAAGATAATTTATAATAGGTGGTGCTTGCCAAACAGTTCGGTTCTGATCCAGTTCTAAGTATTAGGAAATTTTTCCGTTGGGATATGCGGGGCTTATTTAAGCAGTAGCCAAATCCGCAACGTCTCGGTTAACATTCCTTATTATGTAAGAAAGACAAATAACTAAGAAAATCATAATTACAGTAATACTGTAGAAAATTATTCTTTCCCGATACTCAGTATGTATTTCCCCAAAGTCTCCATCAGAAAGGTGTATCTTTTGTGAAATCTCATYATTAAAATAATGTATTAAAATGGTTTGATTTCTAATTTTTTTTTTTTGTATTCTAACCCTAAAATACCCAGAAAATACAGTATTTTTGATTAAATGCTAGTACTTGTGCATTCTTCTTCTTGAGACTTAACTCTTACAGAAAAAATAGTTAAGCAAAAATTCTCATTCTGAAGCAACATGAATTCTAAGCATTTTTGCTGTGCRGATAGTTTGTGTTCAGGCATCAGTAGCTCTTCATACAGTAGCAGCTTCATTATGATTTAKTAGGAAAGGAAAATCTATTATATTAAAACTTACACTGGATAATAGTTTGAGTATTCTTATTGGATTTGATAATGCAGATTTTATTTAGGGTGCTGTTCAGAACACAGCAGAGTCTTGTGATGTTCAGTCTTTTGCCTAGAAATAATCTAGCCACGTTCGCCAACTTGAACGAACGTTTTATCAGAAGTCAGATTTTCGAGAGCTGCTGAGTTAAAGTGGATTCTTTATTTGCCTAAAGAGAGTTTCTCTTTTTCTGCCTAAAAATGAATTTAACTGTGGATTTTTTTTAATGCATCTCCAAGGTATCAATTTAATAACTATCAAAGTAGCTAGTGCAGTTGTTGCATTTAAATTGATTTACATGTCAAGACTGGCAGTTTAGCAGCTGCGCTATTATTCCGGGATCGGTCAATTTACTTGAGAAAAACCTACTACTGAGTTCTACTGACCTGCATGACAATATAGACCCTATTTCTATTCCTGTAATTAGGCCTGCGACTAACTCAGAATATTTTTAATTAAAATATTTTGGTCAATGTGTTGCACCAAATTAGGCCTTTCAGTGCAGATTTAATTCTGGAAATGGTGTGATTAGAATATGTAATGAGTCGTGCTCAGTTTAAGATGAACAGGTTGTGTCTTCGAACACAACCTGTTTATTCAGTTTATAGATTTCTGTTTGAAACTCTAACCTTAAAACTTAGCTAAAAAGAAGTTAAGTCTTGCCTGACTCTCTAAAGCAGTTTTTTTTTTTTTTTTTTTTTTTTTTTTTTTTTTTTTTTGGTTGATGACAGTGATCTATAAATAAAAGTTGATACTATGAACATACTAAGATATTTCAAGAAGTTTGTGTCGGGGAAAACTTGCTTGTGCTTGAATAAATGGTTTTCATACAGACAGTAATTTTAGTAAATTCAAGCAGTATTATAATAATTTGAATTTGGAAACAGCTTTTCAAATAGAAAATCAGAATAGTCTAGCTGTGGTGAACCTCGTTTTCCAACACTGTAATCAAGCTTTAACTTAATTTAACTTAATTTCCTATCTGAAGAGAGAATACTTACTAATTCTGCCATCATTTTTACCTAATAGATACAGTGCTTCTAGAGAACAAAACAAAAACTTTTCCCTCTCTCTAGCATTTGTGCTTTAAATTGGGGAAAGGAAAAAAGATTTATAGTAGTTGAGACTTGTTGGTTTTTTGCTGCTTTGCATTAAATATTTTTTGTTACTCACTTCTGTGATGGAGACTTGACAGCAATAGGCAGGTAGAGCACGGAAACGTTTCTACCACTCCGCTATTTCCTAAGTGAATGAGCCGGGATGCTGCAGGAGCAATTGAGATGCTCCTTTTTCCTATGTGAGACCARGTAAATTTCCACAACATGAGGCTTCAGATTCCAGATCCAAGCCTAGCAGTGGACAAAGGATGTTGTGCTGCCTTATAAAAAATACTGAAYGATTGCCTGGGTGTAAGTGTTTGTAAATTATTCAGTCTGCGGATGTTGTTTGCTTTGCAATTAGGTGCTTTGGCTTATTTAATTTGGAGCTCTCCATGCAAGTCTGTTGTCTTTGCTGCCGTAGGTATGATGATATTCTGATCAATGGTCTACCAGATTGGCGACAGCCTGTATTCTACTACAGGCGGGTGAGAAAAATGAGCAATGCTGAGCTGGCATTACTCCTGTTCATTATACTCACAGTGGGCCATTATGCTGTGGTTTGGTCAATCTACCTGGAAAAACAGCTGGTAAGTATTGCAAATAAATCAAACTTGCTTCAATTATTAGTATTGAGCTTTCAGCCAAAGGTGGCGTGTTACAGGGATCTCTCCTGCCTCACTGCTTTTGAATTTGCGTTTATCATATTTTAAAATAGTTACATTTAAGATGATAATAATTATAGAATAAGTTATTCAGCGAATCTGATGTAGTAGTCTTAAAAAATACTCTATCCGTTTTCTAGAATTGATAATAAATAGCAAGAGATAGTTCTTGATTTTTAGTTTCAAGAAGGAAGAGCACTAAATACTCTTCTGTCATGTGTTGAAGCAGAATCATATGCTAAAGCAGAATTTGCTGTAAGCTGCTGTAGTCATTTTTAAGCTTTTCCTAAATGTAATTTAAAAATGATTATTTTTATTTGACTGGTAGTAATACTTGCTTTACCTTTGTTCTCATCGAAACGCTTTTTTGTTCAGGGTTTTTGTTAACAAAATAGATATTGGTAAGCAGTCTAAAACCACATTATATGCTTATCTTAGTTTTTGGTATATAAAAGTGTCTTACATTTAGACTAAAAAAACTAAGTATAACTTGAAAAAAAAATCATATATTAGCATCAATTTACTTTTTTTTTTTTTTTATTTTTCTACTGCATTATTAAAGTTGATGAATGAGAAAAGGAGGCAAGTTGAATGCTGGCCTCTCTTAGAAAACTTTGATTGCTATGGAGATACACATGACTGACAGAACTGGACTTCATGTGTGTTTAAAGACTGGATGCCATGGCAACAGTTATTGTTAAGATAGATCATTTTACTTAATCATGTAGGACCCCTAGATGCATTTGCATAAATGCTACTCTAGTGTTTACCCTTCACAGAAGAGTCCCAGTAACATTTGTGGTTTACATGTTAATGACGACCTGTAACCGTAGTTCTTTCTACGTCAAGGATGAACTGCTTAGCAGAAAAAAGAGGGAGAAGAAGAAAAAAACAGGAGGCCGGAGTACGGATGAAGCCAAATTTGCTGCTCTTGACAAAAATGAAAGGTGGGAAGAAAGTCTCTTGTTTTCTCTATTTCTAAACGTTTTATCAGCTATGAGTTAATTCTGTCATTTTCTCCTTGAATCTTTCAAACACTCTAATGAGGAGAATATCTGTATTTGTGGTAGTAGCCGTGGCTGGTGTTAAGTGCGACAGTGTAGATGTGTTTATATTTTCTGGTTTATAAATAAAAGCATGGTGTTTATTGAGCAGATCAACAATAAATAAAAGATTGAGACTGAACGAATGATGCTGCCCTAGTAGAAGAGTATTATTTTTGTAAGTTGGCATTCTTTTTTTTTCCTTTTTTTTTTTTTTTGAAAGATTTTGCAGGTGGTTCTGTCTTTTGCTGTTAGTTAAAACGAACAAATTTCTGTCAACAGATTTTGCTATTGGTTAAATGAACAAATTTCAATTTAATTGAGCCTCAATTTATTGCTACACTAATGATGTTTTTTTTAATGCATTTTAATGCTTATTTTTTTGTCCCGTTGACTTAGAAACAAATGTTAGAAAAAGCTGTGTTTAAAATGCCTAAGAAGCTTAGAATAAAAAGGTGTTTATAAAGGCTTCTAACACTGCTGTTTAGTTAAGAACACATAAGGAAATAGTGACTTTCAGGACACACCAAGAGATAGCACCATTTCTTCTATTGATTCATAGAAAGAAATAAAGGGTTTAAATAGTTCACACAGCAGGGGCAGGAACTGGATCAATGCAGGATGGAGATCAGAGACCATTCTGCCTGTCGCCTTTCTTGATGACATCAGTGAGTAATGCCTCCGTGAACTGCAAATGACATTAATTTTTATGTATTGTTTTGTTTATGCTACAGTCTTCATATCTGGTTGTCAGCACTTGTGAACACTTCGGTGAGGCATGAGATTTTTTAGCTGCAGTGCTTATGTGGCTTATGAATCTATTTCCTTTTAGAAAAAGCTCCTCTTAAGAGATTAAAATATGTAGATGCTAGAATAGAAGCTAGCTGTTGTGTGTGATGTATTTTCTATTAAATATTCAGAACTATCTTTTGTATTAAATATTTATACATCTTAATATGGATTGTCAAATGATAATTATTTTGCAAGGTAGTGGGAGGGTTCCGCTTTCTGCTGTGTAGGGCTGTGTAGCAGGAATGAAAAACTTACAGTTTTGTTTGGCTGCAGAGTCCTGGACAAACCACAATGGCATGACTTGCTCCCTTGCAAGCTGGGAATCTGGTTCTGCCTCACTKTGAAAGCTTTACCTCAGCTATTCCAGGTAATACTATTAATTAATAGTACCTGATATTACCTTGGYTTTTCTTGACAGTGTTACGTATGATCAAATCCATAGTACTTGCACATATGAATTTTCTGTCTAATGTATATACCTTATATAGAGAAGAATTACTCTTTGGAGGTTATTTTAATCTAATTGATTCATCAAACTATGAATATATTAGAAATGAATGTTGATGTTAATCTGCTAGAAAATTCCTACGGAAGTACCTGTTAGGCAAAACTGCAAGAGCAAATGATGAGGCTGAGGTGATATGTGTACATCCAAATCAGGATAGCTTTTTTTTTTCTTAATTGTCTGCTAATAAAAATGTTTTTGTTATTTCAAGTACTATATTTTTATAGTATATATGAATATCTAGTTTAGATTTGAGAGAACAATGAAGTGACTTTCTAAATTGAGTGAATTTTCCTTCTAAGTCATTGGATAGTGATATAAAAAGATATCAGGAAAATGCTGAAGTAAAAAAGATTGAATAGWAAATTAGAAGCTTTAATTTGGCAAACTTATCCAAAGAATTTTTTTTCTTCAGTCAATAGTATAAATTGTAAAATGCAGCTAGTATTCTGACCGTGTAACTATTTTCAGAAAATCAGTTACTGAAATCATTTCTTCAATGTCAGACACTCCTTTTCATGTCCTTTGATCACAAACTTCTGGGTTTTTTTAGTTGGTGACTAAGGTCTGACTGAAATTGTGAACTATTTCCATATGGCATTGATATTCAATTTCTGTCTGCAACCTAAAAAAGCCTACAGTTCACAATTACTAGTGTGTTAGCAAAAARTATCATATAAAAGTTATAAATGAAATAAATACAAGCATAAAGATCAGACATTCATTTCTTATAGACTGTAAATTTTCCTACAAGGAGATGTGCAAGTTAAGATTCCTTTTTCCTTGRAAAGTTTTGACAGAACAATATGGCAAGTTTACTCAAGTAACCCGTCTTAATCTTCTTGCATGTTTTTGAGGTAAAAAGGACCTTGCTAATTTGTGTCCAAGTTGAGCCTTGTTGCCCTTTTCTCAGTGAGGCAAGCTGCCTGGAGAAGAATTAACTTCACTAGCTGCTGTTGCTACCTATTTGAAAATTTTTAACAACTAATGGAACTAATTTTCACTATTTTCCCTAATGGAACATACAAATATTACAAAATACAAAAGAATTTTAAGTTAGGGATTCATATAGTCTCTCTAAGCTGTCATTTTCCCACGTTTTTGATTCTGAGATACTCTATTTAAATAAATAAAAGAAATAAGTATAAYTGGCCTTTCAAATTTTTTAATTCCAAAAACAGCCACTACATCTCTCGGACTTGCCAGAAAAGCTGAGTATAGCGATGTGTTGAGCTCAGTTTGACACCTAGCAGGTACCTATTGCTGTGCATTTTAAGTGCAGGAACTGCATGTGACATAACCCTTGCCTCTTTTAAAATAAATGATGGTGAAAAATAAGGTCTCCAGTAATCCATGGAAAATTGGAAACCAGCAGGCTGGGATGTGGTGGCAGGGGAGGCAGGTTACAGAGGAATTCAAAGTCAGAAAACTTGTAGAGAGACTCAGGCAAAAATATGAAGTTCTAGGCCAAATTGCCCAAGAAATTTCAATGTATTTCAGGCTTTAGTGCAAGTAGAATCACTAGGGCAGCTTAGCTGAAAGGGAAGCCCCTAACAGCTGCAGGCATTGGATAATTCTGTGTTGCATATAGCAGTTACACAGATAATTTATTAACAAGATGTTGCACTGGCTGACATAGGGATAGCTGCTATAGATTGTACATGTTTATTGAGTTAATCAAAATGAATTTTGCAGTCATTAAAGAACCCACAAATTATTCTCAAAGTTAACTGTCATTCATCCACAACTAATACAGTTGCAGGTTAGATTCTAAAAAAGAGTAATCTGTATTTAAAAGAACCACAATTGGGATGGGAAAGGGCAGACATTTAGTGATGTTTACAATGACGTGTTGCTTCTGCCACTGTGTTTCAAAGCTCTTAAGACTTTARCTGAAATAATGGAACTGTTTCCTCAAATTAAGGAAACAAAACTCCCTCAAAGGAAACCTTGTAGATATATATATATATATTAAAAAAAAAAAAAAACTTTTTTGCTACCTCTGGTATCAGTTCCATGAATCCTTTCCCTCACACCCCTTCCCTGCTCCCAGATTCCCAAGTGTGCAGACGTTCCTCACCACTGCTTTGCCTGGGTGGTGCAGGGTGCAGGGCTTCTGCCCATGTCTGTCTCATTTATCCAATTGAGTGTCTTTCTTCCACATCCCCTGCTCCTTCAAAATGTCAAATTTCAGAAGGAGGCACTTAAAATAATTAAGGTGGGCCTCTAGTGAAGAAAAATGCTTTGTTTGCATGCCCTTCTGATGGCCTGTGCCATTTTATTGTATTCTGCATTTTATCTCAAGAAATTGGAAGATAAATTGGTGAGAGAAGTATGAGAGAAACTCAGAAATGAATGTTTATTTTTAACTGYTGGCAGTTGTGTTTTGAGGGAGACTAAATAGGTTTTTATATCTGTGCATCTAGCTTAGTTAAATTTGAGAGAGAAAGAAACATCTCAAAGCTTGTTTAAAGAAGTGCAGGGAAAGAATATTTAAAGTGTACCATAAATCAAATATATTTGATGTCAAAGAAACATTAAGTGGAGTGTAAATTACATTGAATACTACCAAATTTAATTCTCATAAGGTAAGCACAAGAAAAAATATAGAACAAAGAATGCAAATTGTTTGTAAGCTCRTTTAGTTTACTCTTGTGGTAATGACCCAGAAGAAGACTGTGTCTTTTTTATTGAACAGAGCAACAAAACTGAACTAAAATGCTTACTGGAACTGGAAATTATTTTTCTAAAGAAATAGAACAGCTAAATATAGTGTACAAGAACTTTGGTTCAAATGGTGAATGCAATACAGAATAGACGTTGTGTTAATTATACTATTTTTGGTGGCAGAAGAATCGTATGTAAAATGCAGTTTATTCCCCAAAGAATTGACCAGAGTTTTGTCTGACCTGCAATTTAAGAAAAGTGTTATCTCTTCAAAATATTGCTAATTATTCTTCACAATATATTCCTTGTTTTCCTTCAGAAAATAGAAAATAGAGTGTCCGTTTGTGTTCCAGACAAATACTTTTCCTTCAGCTTTATATGCTGAAGCTTAGAAATGGATGTTTTTATTTTTTTACTATTTTCATTGATGCCAGCAAGAACTTGAAAGCCTTGGGTGTTTTTTTTTTTTTTTTTTTTTAGTTACATTGCGATTCTGCAGTTGGCCTGACTGTAATGAAGCAGAAAGCTTTTTTCTCCATTTCATACAGAAACTGATCATAAAGAAAACTAAGTTTTTCTATTATCCATAGAATAACACAGTAAATATTATTAGTTATTGCCTACCCCAGCAGGAGCTGCTAGCAGTGCTAGGAGGCCATAGAGCTCTGCAGGGAGCCCGGCKGGGTGGGACCTGCTGGGGTTATCTGCACTGCCCTCAATTATGATCAAAACTTTTGTTTTTAAAGACCATTGGCTCCTATGAAGTGGCTTAAAATAGAARGACTAGTAATTTATTTTTATGTACACCACCAGATGGTAATTACTGTAGCTGATTTAGTAGCTTGGATTAGATTCAAACTACTGACCCAGAGGTGTTTAATTTCTTGGCAGGTTTTCCTCAGGTTTTCTTTTAATCCATGATTCATTTCAACACCTGTTTAGAGATGGTTCAGTTCTGGCCTTAAATGGATTGGCAATGTGTCATTAAACTCGAGAGGCTTTGCCAGCAGGGCATCTCCTTTGGCAAAGTTCATTTTAAATGTTTCCCAGTTTAATTCAGTCTTCTTTTTGTAGGTTACTTTTGTCTCCCTACATGACTTTGTATAAAATTGTAGTGTGACACTAAAATATATTTCGTCACACTCAATAATGCATGCTTCAGAAAGATTTTTGAAGGGATTTAGGCACCTCGGAGGYGATATATCTGCCTAATTCCCAGGTTTATAGGGTTTGGAGGAGTTGCAACACGCTGACGTTGGCAGATGTTATGGGAGCTGTCACGGGATGTGAGGCTGGAGTGATTGCCCCTTCGCTTGCTCTGTTCCCTGTTATTTCACCGCCATTGGAAGAACCAAAGTAGGGATGAGGCTCTTGACTGCAAAGTCAATTAGATCTTAGAGGCAGGTCAGGGAAATCGATGATAAAACGAGTTCTCTGCATGTATCTAAGTGAGAAATAATTTGCATTCAACTGGGTACTGTTTGATGCTCTGGAGAAAGGAAGTCCCTTGTGGCATTACCCTCGTTTTGGGCGAACACTGGTCACTAAAGAAACGTGCCTTTTTCCTCCCATTGTTCCATGGTAGCCCGTTTTGCTCTGTTCCCTCAAGGCAYCTCACACTTGTCCACGCGCCCATGAGGCGGGTGGCGCTAGGCGCAGCTCTCGGGCACACGGTGACAGTGGCTCCCGCCTCACGAGCGGGGTGTGCTGTTCCGCTGCGGCGCGGGGCTGCCGTGGCTGGGAAGGAGGCCCCTGCGGCCTCCTTTTTCCCTCAGGCTTCCTTTATTTCACTCGTGTGCGTTTGAGACAGGCAGCAGGGTGTGTGTGAGCCCAGGCTGCCGCCGCTGGCGCAGGCCGGGGCCTGGGGAGCTGCCCACGAGTTGTGCCCAGCCAGGAGCCTGGCATTTGAAAAGCAGGATTCCCCCTTAAAACATTCCTTGGCTTGCCATTGAGCAACCATGAGAATGATGAAGAGAAATGGAAGTGRGGATGCTAAACTTTCACAATGTTTTTTGCTGTGGCATAATGCATCTTATTTTTTATTGCAAATTGAAGGTTGAATGCTGCAGTGATCTATAGTGACTCCTTGTTCTTCAGTGCTCCTATATAAACATTCTTCTTTTCATGACTGATGTTTCTCTCACACAAATTATAAGAAMCGCTGGGCCTAAAGATCAAACCCTAGCTCAGGAAGTTGATACAAATTTCGTAAGTTAATACAAATCAATGTATACATGCATTCATYGTTAAATCATCTTTAAATGTATACATTGATTTAATAAGATCAATGCAAAGAAAATGGTTTTAGTATAATGATTTAAATATACTTGTGGGACTATTCCAGTTGCTTGTAAATTCTTAGAGAAATGTTTTATTTGTAGGAGTCTCTCGCCCCACAGAAGTAAAACGTGCCTCTATCCTGTCACAAAATCTGTCGTAAAGATTCACRTATGGTCAGTATGGCAAGTTCTTTGCCTTATTTCTCCTAATCTCTGGGCTTTCTGAGGGAGACCAGGAAGTCAGGAAGATTGGCTGGAGAGAAAAAAATTGCAAAATAAACCACCAGCCAGCACAACCTCCTTGCCCCCCAGGCATCGAGGAGAGACTGCAGTGAAGGAGGATCAGAACCGAAGATGTTAATTCCTGGATTAGTACAATTTGAATGAAATATGCATGCATTGATTTAAAAAAAAAAAAAAAAATCTGAAATGCAGTGTCAAGGGGTTTATTTTTGTGTTTTTAGGTAACTCTGTAGTAAGTGCAGGTTTTCTTGGAAATTCTGAAGATATTGACAGCAGACAATATCAATATAGAGAAGAATTGAGTTATAAGTACTTTATAATATTTTCATTTTTATTTACTACTAAGATATTTTTAAAAGTTAGTAAAAATGTTTGTCAATTTTATTTTTCTTCCGCAGCATTTTTTGAAAATCAAGTGTAATCAGTGAAACTTTTTACACATGGCAGTTGAACTGTGATTTAGAAGTGCTAATTACAAAATAGACTATTTTTACATTTTCTTCCTTCTGTGTAAAATGGGTTTTAGTAATAATCTAGCATGTATAAGCCCTCTTTCCTCATTTTTTACCTGACTAAGTCCATGATGCTACTTTGGTAGTGAAGAAAACTGACACGTTTGTGTTGGTCTTCTTCTCTGGTAAGTTCTCAAGCTCCTGAAAGTAAGAACAAAATATTTCTGTGTTTGGATTAGGTAAGATGGAACCTGCTGTTAGAATAGTTCCTGACTTCATATTTGCGTTTTAAAATGCTTTTATGACAAAAATTGAATATSTTTGAAAGCTAATATTTTGTTTTAGAGGAACTTTTTTTAAGTTCTTTTAAAATTGTTTTTCAGCTTTTCTTTTATTGTAACTTACTAGGTCTAATATGTATATAGCTTGGCTAAAATTTTTTTTCTCAGATGTGTCATTTGAATTCTCCTTACAACCTGTAGAGCTAATTCTGATGCTTTTTTGGGGAAGGATTTAATTTTAAAATCTTCAGAATCCATTTAGTTTCCTTTTTTTTTTTTGTTTGCTTTCTATTTCTATATCATATGTAAACTTTTTCATATGTGCTATCAAAATGTGTAGTCTCCCTGGTTTTTGTGATTATGGCCTCAGCCAGCATAAATTGTGTTTAATAAGTTATAAGACTAAGATCACAATTGTTACCTGAGTACTGCTTTATTTGCAGTGATAACCCATAGTCCATCTATAAAGCAGCAGTAGTGCTAAAATTCATATATGTGCTTCTGACTAGTTTTCTTTGTTGTTCAGCTATTGTGTCTCATTTTCATCTGAGCCACATTTCCAATTGTTCCATGATTGACACGCTGGAGAGATTGACAGTTACCCCCTAGTGTCTGCTGTCTGGAGATCCCACAAGCAATAATGGATTTTACACCAGAATTTAGCATCAAATATTGGCTTTCAGTGTCAAATGGGTTAAATTCAAATGCCAGTTAATTGTATCCATTTTGAAATCATAGCCTTAAACAAAAGCATTCTTTGGATATCAGTAAGTCTAAGTGCTGGGTATGCAGCACAGTCTGAATGTCTCAAACTTGCAGCAGAAGTTGGCCATTACATTTTTGCCCTTTTTTGTTCCGTAAAGAGGCAAGAAAGCCCCAAATCTAGAAAATACAATAAATATTTCAGTGTATGGTAGAGATTTCTTATTTCAAGTACACTGAAAGGGGAACTGGTGCCAATCCCAGTTTTGTAATGGTATGTTATAAAATAGAAACTGAATGTGTTTCCCTAAACCCTGCTTACCTCCTGGGAATGCTGGTCATCCTCAGTGGTGCCTGTACATACAGAGGTGTTTAGCCCTGCTTCTGTTAAACCAAGAAATATCTCCCSCACCTCAGAGACCAAACAGGAGCACGTGAGGTGTTTTCGTTTGCTGTGTTTTAGCAGCAAGAAGTTATGCAAACTCTTTAAAAAACCTCTGTGAGCAGAGCAATATCCTCCATAAACCTAGCAGAGAAGTGGATCTTCTTGTTTCCCATGTCMAGATGTAAAAAGCCATAGAGAGAAAGGCAAGGATCGTGGGGAGGAGATGAAACCTTATTATCTGCTGTGAGAATTAGAGCAGCTCTTCAGGAGCACTGACTTACATCAGTGAGATCTCCCCTAAACACGAGGAAGGTCTGCTCAGAGCTGGACCCTAATTCTGCCCTCTGCTCCCTCAGGGACCAGCCTGATGCCAAGGACAGTTGCTGTGTTGTAGTACCTTTGCACTAGGCGATTTTATAGACTTCTGCCTTTGGATGCAGTAATAACATCTGCTTAAGTTGGTATTTGTTATCAAAACGTGTTAAATGTCTTATATCGCTATATATGAGACCAGGTTTTGTTTAAATGTATATAATCAGATCATAGTTCAAATTCCAAAAGCGCTTAGCGAGGTTTTTAGCATATTTTACAGATAAGAATGAAAATCATTTAGCTTCCTCTGTGTATAAAAGGTGGAATCATTATGTTGAAGCAAGAATAATTTTTGTCTATAAACAAGAAAATTTAAATGTATCTAAGAACACAATTAATTTTGATAGGAAGAAATGTTATGCTTGTTTGGAAAATATAGACAAGAATTTGACTATATACAGACAATATATAAGAATTTTAAGTCTGCTGTAGATTTTTTGGTTTAGATTGAATCTCAGTCTCTTAGACAAGTGAGAGTAAGAAAATTTCATGCTTCTTATCTTTAAACAGTCAATGGTTCAAACTGGAAAACTTTCAACTCAAATTCATAATTACTAATTCATCAAATTTTGTAAATGTGTGTATTCTTGTGAGGTTTGTGGCAAGGCTTCTAATTTCATAAGCAAGTTTCTTAAATAGATTTCAGATTGGAATCTACCCTGATCATTGGGGAAAACCTTAATATTTGTTTTTAACAACTTGATAGTAATTTAAAACCTGTTAAAAAAGGAATAAATTGTGKTTTTTTTGAACATGAACAGTTACTACCATAATGAGTTCACAGTAAGAAGACYGCTGCCGAGCAATTGCTTTTGTGTGTTCCTGCACACACTATTCTAATTAAAAACTTTTCTTTCTTCCCTGCACCTCCAGATTGCTGATGTGAGAAAAGGGGATACACGGCCTCTTAACCAGCTATATTCAGTCATCAGAARTGCTTTTCATTTTCACTGCTTTTCCATTTTGCTTTTCAGGCTGTCAATTAGCATCATAATCTATAATATCAATACTATTATATGTGAACCTTTGCTACACAAATTCTACTCTCTAAGTAAATATTTCTATATTGAAAAAATCTGTATCTCAGGGAAACAAATGAATTTTTTTTTGTTTGGGGTTTTTTTTTTTTTTTTTTTGCCAGTCCCTAATGCATACTTTGATTATGTAT